TTTTTTGGGGAAAAATGGGGATTTGGGGAGAAAAAATGGGAATTTGGGAAAAACGGGAAAAAAAATGGAGATTTTAGGTGAAAAAATGGAGATTTTAGGTGAAAAAATGGGGATTTTAGGTGAAAAAATGGAGATTATAGGGGAAAAAATGTGAATTTTTTGGGGAAAAATGGAGATTTGGGGAGAAAAAATGGGAATTTGGGAAAAACAGGAAAAAAATTGAGATTTTAGGTGAAAAAATGGAGATTTTAGGTGAAAAAATGGAGATTATAGGGGAAAAAATGTGAATTTTAGGGGAAAAAATGTGAATTTTTTTGGGGAAAATGGGGATTTGGGGAGAAAAAACGGGAATTTGGGGAAAATGGGAAAAAACCCCAGAATTTTAGGTGAAAAAATGGGGATTTTAGGTGAAAAAATGGAGATTTGGGGTGAAAAATGGGGATTTTGGGCCCCGCATCATCAGCTCCCACCTGCCCGTGCAGCTCTTCCCCAGAGCCTTCTTCAGCTCCAGGGCCAAGGTTTGGGCACAAAAAACGGGAATTTGGGAAAAAACGGGAAAAAAAATGGAGATTTTAGGTGAAAAAATGGAGATTTTAGGTGAAAAAATGGGATTTCTACATGAAAAAATGTGAATTTTTTGGGGGAAAATGGAGATCTGGGGAGAAAAAATGGGAATTTGGGAAAAACGGGAAAAAAAATGGAGATTTTAGGTGAAAAAATGGGGATTTTAGGCGAAAAAATGGGATTTCTACATGAAAAAATGTGAATTTTTTGGGGAAAAATGGGGATTTGGGGAGAAAAAATGGGAATTTGGGAAAAACGGGAAAAAAAATGGAGATTTTAGGTGAAAAAATGGAGATTTTAGGCGAAAAAATGGAGATTATAGGGGAAAAAATGTGAATTTTAGGGGAAAAAATGTGAATTTTTTTGGGGAAAATGGGGATTTGGGGAGAAAAAACGGGAATTTGGGGAAAATGGGAAAAAACCCCAGAATTTTAGGTGAAAAAATGGGGATTTTAGGTGAAAAAATGGGGATTTTGGGGTGAAAAATGGGGATTTTGGGCCCCGCATCATCAGCTCCCACCTGCCCGTGCAGCTCTTCCCCAGAGCCTTCTTCAGCTCCAGGGCCAAGGTTTGGGCACAAAAAACGGGAATTTGGGAAAAAAAAATGGAGATTTTAGGTGAAAAAATGGGATTTCTACATGAAAAAATGTGAATTTTTTGGGGAAAAATGGGGATTTGGGGAGAAAAAATGGGAATTTGGGAAAAATGGAATTTTGTCAGTTTTGGGGTGAGAAATGCGGGTTTTGGGGTGAGGAATGCCGGTTTTGGGGTGAGAAATGCGGGATTTGGGGTCAGAAATGTGGGATTTGGGTGGAATTTTGTCAGTTTTGGGGTGAGAAATGTCAGTTTTGGGGTCAGAAATGCGGGATTTGGGGTGAGGAATGCGGGATTTGGGTGGAATTTTGTCAGTTTTGGGGTGAGGAATGTGGGATTTGGGGTGAGAAATGTCAATTTTGGGGTGAGAAATGTCAATTTTGGGGTCAGAAATGCGGGATTTGGGTGGAATTTTGTCAGTTTTGGGGTGAGAAATGCGGGATTTGGGTGGAATTTTGTCAGTTTTGGGGTGAGAAATGCGGGATTTGGGGTGAGAAATGCGGGATTTGGGGTGAGAAATGTCAGTTTTGGGGTGAGAAATGTCAATTTTGGGGTGAGGAATGCGGGATTTGGGTGGAATTTTGTCAATTTTGGGGTGAGAAATGCCAGTTTTGGGGTGAGGAATGCCGGTTTTGGGGTGAGAAATGCGGGTTTTGGGGTGAGAAATGCGGGATTTGGGGTGAGAAATGCCGGTTTTGGGGTGAGAAATGCGGGATTTGGGTGGAATTTTGTCGGTTTTGGGGTGAGAAATGCGGGATTTGGGTGGAATTTTGTCAGTTTTGGGGTGAGAAATGTCAATTTTGGGGTTGTGGCAGGTGATTTACACCGTCAGGGACCCCAAGGACGTCCTCGTGTCCCTGTTCCACTTCTCCCGGATCTTCCGGCCCTACAAAGACCCCGGGAGCCTCGAGGAGTTCATGGAGAAATTCCTGGAGGGAGACGGTGCCGGACCTGGAGTCTGGGGGGATTTGGGGATTTTCGGGGGGA